ACAGTAAGTGGAGGGCAGAAGTAACCACAGGCTAGCCTTGTCTGTGGGCCAGGCCTGGGCGTGGTGGACAGGAGCCCTGGGCCCATGGCCCAGGTGAGAGTTGAGCCTCAGGCCTGGCTGAGAGTGGGAAGAGCTCAGCCTGCATGTGGGGGAGAGCATCCTGGGAGTCCATGGTGAGTATTTGTAGAAGGCCCAGACAAAGTTCATATCTTCCCCCCTTTTAAAAATGTTGCCAGGGACCAGCAGTTAGTGCTATGTCGCTGGACTCCCATGTAGTCGACTGCAGTTTGAGTCCCGGGCCTGGTGGCTTAAACTCATGCCAGGCACGTGTGTGTGCGTGTCCAAGATCCCGAGAAGAGAATGAAGGGACTGCGGCCTGGCCATCCTCCTTAGGGAGTGATTTCTTGCTTTCTCTCTCTCTCTCTCTGGCTAGTGCACGTGCCCTATAAAATAAACCTCTCTGAAAAAAAATTTTGCCAGAAGGTACAGGCACCTGTGGAGAGAGAAAGCACCCCCCACCCTCTGAGTGGATGGCCCCGCTTCAATCCTTTCTCCATTTCTCTGAGATTTGGGGCACTTACACACACGTGCTCCCACAGGATTTTCAAGCCACAAGGTCCAGCACTCAAACCACCCAGTTGATCATGAGGGATCCATCCGCTTTAGCCACCCCTCCACTCCATTTTAAAATACAGCCAGCAGCTGCCTCCTGCCTGCTCTGCCAGCCTAAGATGTGGCAGGGAAGGTTCCAGTAGGAGTGGTCGTTGTTGGAGAGGGCGCTTTGCTGATGGCTCTGTCTCCCCAAGTCGGCCCTCAGGAGGATTTGTCCTGATGCCTGTCAGGCCACAGTCGCTAGTCCTTCCCAACTTCTCTGGAGTGTGCAGGAATCTCGTGGGTCTTGTTAAATGCAGACTAGATCATTAAGAGCAGGGGGATGAGATGCTACTTTTCACCGAGCTCAGAGCATGTTCCCCTACTGTTCTGTGGGCCAGGGCAGATGCTGGTTGGATGTCCAAGGGTCTGGCCCCACTCTCACCTGTGGTCTCAACTCCGTAGGCCTTGCCCTACCTGCGCACCCCTCCTGCTTTTGTGTTTGTAATTAGGACCCACCTTTTTTACATTGGCTATAGGTTGCATGTGCTCACATTGGTGGGGGGGCGGTGAGAAAGCATCCCCATGGGGGATGGGGACTCCAGTCCCTTCGTCATTGTCCTTTTCAGAGTTTTGGTCATGTACACACATGCCCATTCTGTTTTACAAGCTGCCAGGTCCAGGACTCGAACTATAGTCAGCCACATGGGACCCAGCTGCCTTACCCACCATGCATGCCACCTGGCTGGCTCTTGTCCCACCTTTTAACCAGGGGTTTCTCCTCATTGACTGGCACAGCACCTGCTTTTAGCAGCACGAGCAATGAATGAATGAAGGAGGAGGGCAGTGTCTGCCTCCTCTGGACGCCAAGGAGGCTCATTCAGGGAACAGAGGTCCAAGCTGCCAATGATAACTGCTCTCTCAGTGAGACGCCTTTCCTGGCCCGGCCGAGGGGACAGCAGATATTAACCACACACTGGTCGCTGGTAGGCCAGCGGCTGAGAACGCTAACCTTGTGCTGTAGAGGGGGCTGTGTAGTGTCTGAAGTTCATAATCCCGGCCTCCCTCCCCAGGAAGCCCTGCGGAAGTAACTGGCAGGTAACAGAATTTCTGGGAGGCGGCAAGACTATTTATGCTGATAGCAGCCTGGCCTGCTTCCAGGGATTTTTGTAGGTCACGTAAAATCTCTTTTGATCATGGTATTTCACGTAAGGACTCTCAGGATGGGCAGGACGGGCTTCCCGGATTTTCCCTCCAACATCACAGAGGTTCCAAACAAACTTGGTGCCCAGGACAGCCACTGTGGAGCAGAGACAGTACACCAGGCACCCCAGCAGGGTGGGTTGGATTTCCTTTGCTTTTGTTCTCCTAACCTCACATGGCTTTTGTCATTTAAAAAAAAAATCCCCCTAAAATAATGCCTGTGAGCACCTGGGGCCACATATTCTCTCTCCAGAAAAGTACTGAGTTCTGAATCCCCTTCTCCTTTAAAAAAATAATGCAGCGGAGGAAAAGTTTTCCACTTGGGAAACTAGAAGGGCAGGTGGCCCCCCCTCTGTTTGGAAGACGTGACCCTGGTGCCCTGACATACAAATGGTCCCCTGGGGGCTGACTTGACACAGGAAGTGCCTCAGCTCCGTGGCCTGGGGTGAGCTTCATGCCTCCATTTTCTGACAGCACCTGAACCCTTACCTCCCTTCTCAAAATGAAGGCTGCGTGTCACCAACCGGTTAGAACTGGCCGTTGCCATGGTTTTCACGTTGGAAGGCACAGTTAAAGGGTCACATGACCAAGGAGGGAAATGCCTTTGTCACATGACTTTTTGGTGGCCTGATTAGCATACAGGAAGTTCACTCCCTGCTGGCTGCTGTGATGCTGAGTGATCACTGATGGGCGGTGACATCACCTCTTGGATGAGTTATTGATCATTGTCAGGCCAAGATGGGGCCAGGGCCTCTGTGGCCAGAGTGGCCCTCTCACTCAGCCCAGTCCCTAATCTGACCCTTTCCCCTCAGGCAGATTTGAGTTTATTAGACATCTCACCTCTGCAAGAAGCACACATCACTCGGTAAGATGATAAAAAGTGAATAAATCCCTCCAGGTTGACTGTGTTCTCGGCCTGTGCTCGCCCGGGGAGCGTTTCTGCTGTAACTCTAGGCGGGCTGCCGCTCCGCAGTTCACCTGGGATCCCGCCTGGGCAGAGGTGAGCGGCTGCAGCTCTGTGCCAGAGCCCTGGGTCTGCCCACCTCTGCGACGCTCCGTGTCTGCGCCCAGCTCCAGGGAACCTGGAATCAGAGTCCTGAGGTCACCTTGAAAGTCGATCTTGGGCAGCGTGGGGCAGTCAGCAGAGAGAGAGACAGACTTCAAGGCTGTTTGGTGAGATCCAGCTGAGGTGTCCGGGTTACCTTATAAAGAACCCTTTCTGAGGTTCTTTCTGGACCTGAGAATGTAACTGAGCGCCCCATGCTCCAGGATCGTTCTGAAACGGGTGCCTTCCCGTCTGCTCCCTGATCTCTGTCAGAGGCCGGCTGGGCCCTAGTCAGGTTGGACCAGGGCACTCACATTCAGGTGTGGCTGCCACGTAGCTCCGACTGGTGGAATTAGGAGGGGCTGGAAGAGAGCGAGGAAGGCCACTCCAGGACCGGCATCCGGCAAATCCGGGAGAGAGTTGGTGAAGCCTCCACCCCTGGTTCTCTGTGCCTACCCTCCCCTGAAGACACAAGTCCCAGAGCTGCAAGAGCATCGCTGTTCGGTTCTTCATCCTAGTAACACTGGCCTCACTTGACCGGGGTCTGGTGGAAAAAAAAAAAAATGAGACAACTTAGAGCAGCTAACTTCGCCCAAGTTTGTTCTCTGGGTCACAGTGCCACCTAGTGGGCATATCTCATTTTCCCCATGACAAAAAGGACTGGATTCCTTCAGCACAGCTACTGACTAAACGCAGATGGTATGTGTGCCCTCAGCAAACAGTTGCTTGGGTGGGATCAGGCTTCTAAGAGTAGTGTTAGGTGGGTGTGTACCTGGGGGGCCGAGTAGCGAGCACTCGGCCCAGCGCCCAGTCAGCAGGCAGCACGGAACCAGTCTGTTCCTCTTCTGCTGCATCCTGACGAACCACACCGTGCGTGCTCCCCTGAGACACAGTTAGCCATCTATGGCCATCTCCTGACGAGAAAACCAAAAGGGAAGGCCCTCAGGCGCTTCCTCCTAGTCCCTGGTGGCCACCCTGCCTTGTAGTGAGATCTGGGTCAGGTCAAGTTCAGGGGCAGAAGCGAGCCCTGAAACCAGTCCCGGCAGTCAGCAGAGAGGAGAGAAGAGGCTGGGCTGCAGTAACAGGAGCAGTCCGGGATGCACATGGGGGCCAGCTGGTGGTGTGGTGGCTAAGGCAGCCGGGTCCCATGTGGTCAACCCTGTGGTTGTTCCAGGCCCAGTGGCTTGAATATGCCAGGCACATACATGTATATACCCAAAGTCCTTTTGAGAGGTGAATAGAGAAGGGATTGCAGCGTGGCCATCCCTTGGCGGGTACTTTTCCTTTTTACTCCCTCGCCAGTGAACACACACAAACTCTTAACAAATTTTTAAAAAGAAGATGATGGATTTGAATTCTAACTTCTGAGGTGGGCAGGGTGGGGTTCAGAGAGCTGGAGGGTGGTTTTGGCATCCTCAGAGCAGAGAAGACCATGTACCAAGAGAGTGGGGTAGAGACATGTAGCAGAAACTAGCCTGTGCTTAGATGAGAGGGTGGAGGGCACCCAGGTCTTACAGAGAAAACGTATTCAGTCATGTTCACAGCATGTAGTGACTCCTGCCACCCAGCTCAGGAAACTTCGGCATGCAGCATTGGCCACTGTACGAAGTGGTGAGGGCTTTGTACCAGAGCACAGGCCGAGATCATGTGGACCAGCCCCTTGGGCTTCTGGGGCTGGGGGGCTGCCAGGTGTGAAGGCCATCAGTGAACCAGAGTTGAACAAAGGAAGACTGGTTTGTGCAGGGTGCTGGGCTCCCCACTGTGTGGTTTCCAGAAAAGGCAGTGGCAGCCCTAATCTGCACCCTCAGCACAGGGGCCTGACAGCTGGCCAAGATCGAGCAGGCCCTGGGATCTGGAGCCACAAGGTCCAGGAGGGAGCTGCGTCATTTTCCAAAATGCTCATGTCACGCTCAGGAGCACTAAGAATAGTCCTGGCTGTTGATGAAGCTGTAAATTGTAAGTTTGGGTACCCGTGAGGTGTGCAGTGGGAGGAGACAGCCATGGGGCCAGGGGTAGGGGCTGGTAGAGGAGAGAGCCAGCCATACAGAGACAGGCTAGGCAGGAGTGCATGCTCTCCTCTCCCTGCCAGGTGACTGCAGGGTGAGAGTGTCATGCCATCAGTCTAGGTGCTCTGGTAACAACCCGTGTCCTTGTCCCACAGTGACATGAAGTCCGAGAGGAGACCCCCCTCGCCTGATGTGATCGTGCTGTCCGACAACGAGCAGCCCTCGAGCCCGCGGGTGAATGGGCTGACCAAGGAGGCTCTGATGGAGACCAGCACTGAGGCCCTTATGGTGAGGGCGCGCCCCCCCCCCCCCGCGCCATCCGGGGTGAG